ATTAATTTTGGGCAAAATTAAAAAAAAAAAAGGTGTCAACAACGTGTCGTGAGATGAATAAACTAGTTTTTTGCTGAGTTGACATCTAAGTTCTACCTAATATTTTCTCATGTGGATAGCACTCACAAACCCATTTTTGCAATTTATATTTAATGGCCCCATGTAGAGTGGGTAACCTGTTTGGCAACAAATTAGGACGAAATGGGTTGACGAGAAGACAAAACCTAGTGAAATGGGCTATGTTGGGTTGCTTAAATGACCCATATTTTAACTCGTTTGACATTCTAAGACCAAAACTAGTGTGGGTACTCAAAACTCAAACTGAGATCATGCTCTCCTCTCTTCTCCTGTTTTCACTCTCATCCGTAGGTAGCTTGATTTCACGTTCGAAATCACTTTGTGCACTTCTCTCTTCAATATTCATCATTGCTTTCGACGGTAGTGATCAAATCGAAGCATCGGTGCTCTTCTCTCTCGTCACTTCTCTCAGTGCTTGTGCATCGTAAAGTTACAAGTGACTTTCTTCTTTATCGGTAACGCTAGAACCCTAGGTCAATGACTCCTATAACTAGATAAGAAGTTAGAAAAACTGGAAGATTTCTTTTCTGCGTGTATTGTTAGAATCTGGTAGTTTGTGGAGGTTAACGAGATGCAATATGAAGTATAATTTGTGAGGAGCCATGTAATGCAATTTTTTATCATCTGGTGGCTCCAGGAGCAATTGAGCTTTGTGAATTGTGTGTTGTTAAGTGGAACAATTGCTAAAAATTGGTGCCCTGATTGTGTTGGGTATGGGTTGGGTCCAAGTCGTGCCGGGTCTAGTAAAATTGGTGGTTTGCTTAAATCGTATTGCATAAAAATGGGTCAATATGGGTCGGGCCCATTTTCAACCGACCTAACCCGACTCGACTTATCCATTTGATAGGTCTAAGTATATATGCTCTTCATTCTAAGGCTGAAAACATGTCATAAGATCATATTTACATGTATTTCGAGAAATAATTCTTCGCAAATATCACACTATCTTTGATTCATTAGAGAGCTTAGAGGTGAACTTACACTAATATGGACAAGCTCGCTCACAGAGCCACCAAACTCTCATCAAATTTCCAGTCTCCAAATTAAAATTCTCTAAACTTTAGGTCGGTACAAGTACAACCTGTGCTCAATTTAAGGCACTTGATATGAAAAATTAATCAGTTGCGAGCATCCTCGAATATTATAAGGACTTGAAACGATTGTGTAAGATATCGGCCTGTTGCTTCTACACCATAATCTTCTAATTTTTTTAAGCATGGCATCTATTTTGATATTAAAGGATCAGAATCTGCAGAATCCGTCTGTGGGCTCTGAAGATTTCAGGGATTACTCGGCTAAACTGGGTTTACCAACTAAATCATCGAAAGATGCTATTTAATCATAATTCGTCAACTTTTTCCAAAAAATGAGGGTACTATCAGCATATTTTAATTGGACTTAAGTAATCAATTTCAATTGCCCCGTGTTTTGCATGGACGTATGTCTCTCTCTCTCTCTCTCTCCTGTGACTGTGAGCATAACCTAGCCATTATGAATGTGAACAAAGTGCATTTTCTGCAGCCATTCGCTGTAACCGGGCGGTCCTGACGTTTGGCAAATGGGAATTTGTTGTGTACAAGAACGGAAAAATCAAAAGTATGATTTCATGGGAGGGCACAGCTGGGACCGGCTCATATAAAATGAAGATATCAATCATAGCGGTCGTGTATGCTTCTGTACCAAATCAGCTAAGGAGGCCAAGAATTTTGTCGGCAGTTTCGCTCAATCACCATGGTTGTTTGACGAGCAAGGAAAAAAGGCAGACCGAAGGAACATGGCAATCGAGGGAGATGAGATTTCTTTTAACATTCCAAGGTTACGAAGTAGGTAATACTTGTTTTAAGGGCGTTATGATATCTATAACGATGTTGAATACGTCTATCGTCTACGCCCCTTTTTTGTGTGAACGATAATGTAGGTTGCACATTTATGACTCATAAAGTCATTGGGATGATCCGATAAGATGCAAGTCTTGGCACTGTTAATTGTTCATCGACACTGTTCACTGTAAATCATGGTTTGCATAGAGGAGCTGGACGGAGTTCGACGACCGCCACTTGGGGTTGCGCGACCCCGATGATCGTCAGCTTGGGTCACGGGAACCCAAGCGATCATCGGCCTGGGTGTGACCGATGGCCTGGGTCGTGAGAACCCTGGGTCGCACAACCTAGGTGACGTCGCCTAAGGTAGGGCGACCTCAGGCGTCACCTAGGTTGCACTACCTTGGTGATGCTTGAGGTCGCGCAATCTCAGGCAAGGCTAGCCGACGGCTAGATCTGGCCACCGGCGGTTGGCCGACGATCGTTTTGGCCCGTCGGCTAAGTTCGCCATTTGAGAGTTTTTTAAAACAAAATAACAAAAGTCCCTTACATAATGTTATTTTTACAAAACGGTATTTAGGTCAAAGTTGCATCCCAATGTATTTTTAAAATACATGTTACCAAACATAATTTGCATTTCGAAAAACCTCTTTAGCTCAAAGACCTTTTCATTTTTCTAAAGACATTCCTTCAAAGCTGAACCAAACGCATTCAAAGTAGGTAAAACTTGTTGTACAAATGTTACGATATTTATAACGGTGTTGAATACGTCTATCATCTAAACCCCTGTTTTTTGTGTGAACAATAATGTAGACTGCGTGTTTCTGACTCCGAAAGTCGTTGGGACAATATGATAAGATGAATTTGCGTTTTCTTCGTCAACAATCATTATTTTACTTTCACTTTCACTTTCGGAGGATCACAGCAGCACAAATGCCTCCTCTCACCGACCATTTTAAGATTTCCATTTGCGATCACTATTAAATCTCTCGTTTCTCTATGATGAGGAAAGACTTTCTCAGCATCCTTTGTACTGTTCCACCATTAATTTATATAATTTGGACCTCTTTCTTGAACTTTTTGTCCTAGATTCCTGATAAAGGTAGTATGAATGCCGCCCTTTCACATTTGCCGCAATTACTACAGTCATCGAGAGAAAGAGATGCTTGGGATAACTGGAAATGGGGCTTGATTTCTCCCAAACTTCATCATAAAATTTTTTACGTGAAACTCATCTCCAGATGACGATTCACGCTGGCCGGTGAATGACGTTCTCACGAGGCCCCCATATGTACAGTATTAGATTCGATGGGATCACTATCTATAATTACAAAAATTTAGGCTGTTAGGTGAAAACATAATTTAATATTAAAATATTAGCAGATTTTGGCCTAAGCCTAAAGCATGGAAATATGAAAGTCCACCCTAAAGCACTATCAACTCTTTTAGAAACTGAAGCCGATAGATAAAGACATGACTTATTATTCAAATATTCTTAACACATGGCCTATAGAGATTTGAACTCAAGATATCCTGCTCCAATATCATGTGAGAACCATGCCAGCTATTCTAAAAGTTTAAATTGCTAAATTGAATGTGTGATTTAATATTTAAATGTTCTAACATATACCAAGTAACTTCTGTGTCAATAAAGAACATTGGATCCAAACTAGATCTCAAGAGCTTATGTGGCAATTCTTCTTTCTTCACCTATTCTTTCAGTGTCAATGATTAAATTTTGCTGGTTAAACATAGTTGTCTATAGTCTTATACCAATTAAGAAAATTAATAGCAAACATCTATTATTTGGGGAATCATCCTCGTGTCAATTTAGTCATAAACCTTTCAATTGTGCAAATTTTTTTTTGGTAAAAAATGTTTAAAATGTTTGTACCAATTTAATCGTAAACATTTTTACATTTTGCTAATTGAGTCCACTCGGTCAATTTTAGCCTGAAACAACTAATATAGATGCCAGCCATCCTACGTAGCATGGTCAGCTCTGATATTGCCACTTTTTTTAAATAATAATTTATATATATTTTTGGTTTTTTTTATTTTTTCTCTTCTTTATTTTTTTTTCGACCGAGGGCTGGCAAGGGTTGTCAATCAACCCTCGCCGGCCACGGGCAAGGGAGTCGCGGCCCTCACCCAAGCCCTCACCGGCCACAGAGAGGGCCCACGAGCCCTCGCCTAGTGGTCTGCAAGAGTCGACCGGCAACCCTTGCCAGCCCCCAGTCCAAAAAAAGTAAAGAAAATAAATAACTGAAGATATCATTTAAAAAAATTATTAAAAAAAGTCTATGTCAGTGTAAAAGGTTTAAGACTTTTTTTTTATAATTGTCCCATGTTATTCATATACATACTGACATCAATTTCAAGGAAATTTCTGAAACTATCTTTCTTTATTGAGTCAGTTTCTTGCTACAACCATGTGACAATAATTTCGGTTTGCAAAAAATTATTATGAATGTCTTGAAGTTCTCTTTATGTCATGCAATTGACCGAACCAGTATTTTTTGGAGTTTCGTATTTAAGACTAGAGCTTGTCTCTTGGAGCTGAAACACACCAAGCATTTATAGTCAAAAACATTTATGAGCAATTTGTTTGGATTTATTTGTTAGATTCAAAATTTGAGACAGTGTTCATCATTTCTTTTCCATCGAATGACAGCCATATGGGACATAACTTGGTAATATAGACATTGGATTTATACCACTATTCAGTTCTACAGTTTTTTTTATCAAATTTTTTTATGAAAGTCGTTTCATTTTTTTATTTTATTGGAAGACACTATCTGAAACAATCGAATTTTTTTCTTCTTTATGGGCAATGCAGTGGAATTATCGTATTATATAAAGCCCATTCATATGTCATGTGGGTATTTAGGTGGATAGGGTCTGGTGTGCCATAAGAATAGTATACCTTACCTAAGCTTTAATTAAAGTGATTATTATAATCCGAGGAGATTTTCAAGAATCTCGACAATTGAGGCCCATCGAAAGGAGAATATATGACTCACGCACACCCTAACATAAATAATATAACTCTTCCTCCTCTTTCATCTCCATTTCCATTCCAGCTCAAAGCTTAGAGCTCCTCCATTAATTTATACTTTCTGGAGCAACATGTTTCCTTCACAACCCAAAAACGATCTGTTCTATCTCCAACCAAATCACAACCCGATTCCGGAAGATCTGATCATTCATGATGATCAAGATCTTCATGGCCTTTGTTTTACCAACCAAAACGACAAGAACAAGGGCTCAGACGAATCTAGACTCGTATCTTTTAGCGGAGGCAACAAAAGCCGTGAAGATTGCGATCCCAAGAAGGCGATGCATCGAGACATCGAACGGCGGAGGCGGAAAGAACTGAACACCCTTTACGCGTCTCTCAGATCATTACTCCCTCTCGAATATATTAAGGTAAGCAAATAGGTTGTCTTTTTGTTTTTTGATACTTTCCCCTAAATTAGGGTTTCTGTGCGTGGGATTTTTAGGGGAAGCGGGCGACATCGGATCATATAACTGGGGCTGTCAATTACATAAACCATCTAGAAAGGAAGATCAATGAGATGGAAAGAAGAAAAGATGAATTCAAGAGGGGTAAATCTGTTCATTTGGGTTCTCCTGGACCAGAAAGTTGGAGCTCAGGCGCCGATTGTTCAGCGAGAGCTTTGAGTGTAAGGCCTTGTCTGGATGGAGTGGAAATAGTCATCCTAGGTGCTAGCTCCAGAGACCAAGACCATAATTTTCCATTATCAAAGGTGTTTCAACTACTGCTGGAAGAAGGAATTAGTGTAGCAAGTAGTGTTTCCACTAGAACTAGTGAAATGATATTCATCCACACCATCCAGTCCGAGGTATACTGTGATAACTCTCATGGAAAAATTGTTGTAGAAATAGGGTTCTATGTGTTACCTTAGTTTTCGTGAAAATAATCTAAGTACAAAGAATTTATAGCCTTATTTTCTCGTTGCTTCTACTTCAGGCTTGCCATACTGGGTGCCTCGATATAGCTCGGCTGCAATCGAAACTTGATGAAGTGCTTACTGACTACTGAGTGAGAGATATGGTTTTTGCTAATTGACTGCAATGAACAGTTCATTATTCTTTTAGATTTCCCTTATCATTGCACCTCTTGGACGAAGAATTATGCGCGTAATTTTTCTCTTGTGTGCACAAGAAGTAAGTTTTCAATCCTACAAGACTTGGGTTTTCAAGAACTTTTGCAAGGTTTGTTCTCAATCAGATTTTTTTTTTGGGTCAAATTCTCAATCAGATTGGTAGCATCCAAGCTAAATCGTTTTACAGTTAGCGCACCCAAATCGTGCTTCTATTATCTAGATTCCTCATCATTAATTTATAATTGACTGATAAGAAGCTGCTTGCAACATTGGAATTAGCTATTGGTAACAAAATGTGAGATAATTTTGTTAGTTATAAAAACTTTTAATGGAAAATGTTCAGTTTGTAAGGCGGTAGAGACTAGAGAGTGCAGTTAGATTGGATGCTAATTGGTTTGTCTTGGTTGCCAGGGTTATCTTATATCCACGCTGATGAATCCTAATGTTAAATCTCAAAGAAAATTTGAAAACTGAAAGGAATATATAGCAAAGTGATAGTTAGAAGAAGTAGCAGATTCCATATATTTGGAGAGGGTTGTTACTGTTGCCTTTGCTGATTTGATATAGACTTACTGACTTGGTACATATGCACACGTATGCGTGTGTGCAAAAGAGAGAAGTTGCTACTGCTCTCTCTCTCTCTCTCTCTCTCTCTCTCTCTCTCTCTCCCTTGTTGCCTGTCAATGAGTCAATATTTCGGACCTTGTTATTCCTATTCAAAGAGTGCATAACTGCATGGATAAGCTCACACTAACCTGTCAATAGTATTTGGAGAGAGATTTCTTATGAGCCCATTATTGATAAACTATTAAATTTTAGAATATGGTTGGAGTGCCTAAGTTGCATGAAAACACTGAAATTACACTGTCCCCATGAGAACCTATTCCGAAAATTGAATTCTTTTGTGACTAAGCTAGTTTGTGGATTTTCATGTCATTTACTGGCTTATGCTTCTTAGGATGAAGGCAGGTAGGTTTCAAACTCAAGGCTTGATTGCAGAATTTCACTGTCCTTGTGTTTCGCTAGGGTTGTGTTGACTGTTGATCACCATGGACTTTCTACAAATGTTTTGAAGTCAAATCGTGACTTATGACACGGGTCACGTTTGTCAGATCGTAGTACATATAAACAATGGTCATGGCTGAAGACATTAAATATAGGTGCTCCATATGTGTGTGCTTCCAATACTTTTCACTCTTTGAATTGCTGTGATCCTATGACTTGTAAAGTAGCAAGTGGTGGTGGAAATTAGTGTGTAAATTAAAAGGTCGGTAACCAGTTAGTTTTATTCCATGTTGTGCAGAAAAAGTTTCAGTTGAAAGTTAGATAGTCATCATATGTACCATGTATATTTATGTGCACTCACCATTTAAAAGTCATCACGTAACATACTACATGGATCATGCTGTTTTTTTTTTTGTGCCGTTGATTGTACATATTTCTAAATCTTATGTTAGGGTTTGCAAATGGCGTTTGCATCTAAGCGAGATAAACTCGTCGTTAGTCTCACGATTGTTCATACATTAAAGATTTATGGTGATCCTCTTGCTCATGTTTTACAAAATAGGCGACTCTTTTAAGTTGTTGATCATGAAGGGAAATAGGTCTTTTTGGCCATATATATATAGAAGTATCTTCCTCCATACTTTATGCATATTCAGACCTAATGAGCTAATGAAAAATAAATTAACTGATGTGGTTGAATTCTAAGCAAATTTGTCTTCGCAGCTATACATGTATTCGATAGAGTGCCAATAGTAAAATCAACAACAAAAAAGTATTAACTTAGCTGGAAAAGTCTGGTTTGATTAGCTATTGAGATGAATCTTCCCTTTCGATTCTTATGTTCTGGAAAGCAAAAATATTCAACTCATGCCCTTTACATGGCATTTTCCTTCGAGATCTCTCTATGGTTTATAGCCTGTTTGCTCCTTTTTCGACGCCCCACATTCATCACTATTGATTGGGTAGTTATAGTTTAGAAAGCCAACTAACCATCCAAACCCATTGGCGATGGATGTAAAAGAAAGAGCACACGGGCTGTGTACTTAAAATATTTTATGTTTCATCTTCATGAGTTCATTTCTAAACATTTTTTTCTCTGTGTTATTGCAACCGACGACTTTGAAAGTGCAATTTTGCCAGCACAACAAAAGTCTAGTAAAAAATAAGGATAAGTACGCTTAAAGTCCTAAAACGTATTATGAAAGTGTAATTGAATTCTAAAACTTATAAAAAGTGTAATCAAGTCGTAAAACTTGTCAAATTGGTGCAATCAAATCCTTCCGTTAACTTCATCCAACTTGGCTAATAAAAAATGCTGACTTGATTTTTTTTGTTATTTTGTCTCTCCTATGTGGCACTGACGTGGCTAAAACATAAAAGAGAAGGCTTAAACAACGTCGTTTTGGTCCAAATATGATTTTTTAATCTAAATATGATTTAAATTATATTGAAAAAATAAATTAAATTAAAAAAAGCCATGTGAGTTCGTTAGCCAAGTCATACACAGTTTACGGAAGGACTTTATTGCACCAATTTGACAAGTTTTAGGATTTGTTTGTACTTTTTGTAAGTTTTAGGATTTAATTGCACTTTTGTGACAAGTTTTTTTGTAACTTGCCATGATTCAAGTAAAATCAAAAAGCTCTTGGGAATTAGTATCATAGGCATGTGATGTTGCCCAAAACTTCCCTCACTTCAAAACTTGTGGTCACACAAAGCAGTTGCAACTTATGTTGATGGGTAACATGCTTTTCAATAGAAACAATTTGTCGAGAAACAATGTAAAAGGAGTTTCTATAGCTTAGTACAAGTTTTGTAACTTCATTATTCAAGGATAATTATCAAAAAAGTCCTAAACCTATTGTATGAGAAAGTTACTGAAAAAGCCCTAAACCTATTGCGTTTGTTCCAATTTAGTCTTAAATCTTTCAATTTGGTCAATTGATTCCTAAACCTTTTGACAATTTGCCAATGTAGTCCATCTGACTAATTTTCGCCAGAAATCGCTGACATGGATGCCAGCCGTCCAACGTGACACTGCCGCCACCGATGTGGACAATTTTTACAATTTCTTTTTAAAAATTCATTTTTTTGAATTATTAATTTTCTTTTCTTTTCTTTTTTCTCTTTTCTGTTTTCACTTTGTTGCAACCAGTGAGGGCCTGGCAACCCTTGTCAGCCATCGTTTGTGGTTGGTCTCCAGCCATCACTTGAGATCGGCCACCGGCGAAAAGGAAAGAAAAAAAAGAAGATAAAAAGAACAAAAAGTTTGAAATTTGTTTAAAAATTTGTCCAAGTCAGCACTAGCCATGCCACATAAAATGGCTGGTGCTAATTAGACCACCACGTCAGCATTTTCCGATCAAAATTGATTGGAAGGATTCAATTGGCAAATCGTCACAAGGTTTATGAATGAATTGGCATAATTGAAAGGTTTAGCACTGAATTGACACAAGTGCAATACATTTACAGCTTTTTTGGTAATCTTCCCCCTATTGTATGGATGCCAATTTAGCCAGTTTAGTTCTAAGCATTTTGACGATTTGCCAATGTAGTCATGCTAGCCAATTTTGATTGAAAATCACTGACATGGACGTCGGTTGTCTAGCGCTGACGTGGATAATTTATGTAATTTTTTTTAAAAATCTTATGAACTTTTCTCTTTTCTTCCATTTTTCTTTCTTTTTAAAAAAAAATTAGAAAAATAAAAAAGATTATCCATGTCAACACCGGCCATGTCACGTGGGGTAGCTGGCATCCATGTCCGTAACTTCCGACCAATTAACCGGAAGGGCTATATTAACAAATCGTTAAAAGATTTAAGACTAAATTGGCCAAATTGAAAAGTTTATGATTGAATTAACATCCGTACAATAGGCTTATGGCCTTTTTGTTTTTGGAAATTTTCCCTTATTGTTCATTGATATATTTGACTGCCTTTACGCTTGTATGAGCTCATTCTACAGCACATTGTTACCATACCAATTTTCTTCTGACAAAGTTCCATTTATATGAACCTCTATCTAAGCACTAAACGTTTACAAATCCAGCATTGATGCACAAGCTCAAAAGTGGGAGAAATCTCCTCTTATTGGCCATTGGAAACCATATGGAATGGATGGTCATTAAGTCCTTTTAATCGTTCAAACATCTACGAATCAGCCGTATGTTTGAGAGTGCTATATATTTCGTCATGGTACTAAAGGGTTATATTAATCAGTGGGGTCTGTGGTCTATTCCGCATATACCTCCTCTTTTCACACCTCCAATGACATAAAAAGCTGGCTGATCAGCAGCTGGATCTAGCATATTCTAAACCGCTTTTGTCCCCATTTCTTCAATCGCACTCTCAAGTTGCCTCCTAAAAAATCTCCTAATATCTTAAATTCCACAGGCGGATTAATCCCTATCTCTATTGTTATCGTTCCACGTTCAGCTGCATTTCCTTCACATCGTTGAACAAACTTAGCCACAGGCCCGCTGCTAATGATTCCATTCGTAATTGTATTATGTCTGACCTGTTCTATGTTGATTTGATCCGATATACTAAACAATTCAAAACGTCACTTTCCCTAATTGGGTCGTTGTCCAACCCATCAATGGGTGGCTTCTCAATTAATTCTTTTAAATATGGACGAGATGGATTGCTCAGTCAAGCTTGTAGCGGGCTGATATTGTCAAGGGTTTAAAATTAAAGAATGACGCCATTGCTCCTTGAAATCAAATTCGACATTATTCGAGAACGCCAAATTAATGTACGTGTATCGTAGAACATGTAGAATAATGACCCAGAATATCTCTGCGAGAAACTAATAAAGAAATCTGCCAATTCCAATGGCAATGCTTGGGCATTACCCAACAAATGCTCCGGACACCAGCTTGAAGCTTTCAAAAGAAAATACGGATTCTTGTGTTTCTTTCTGTTCACATTATCGACTCCATTCCAAAAACTTGACTTCCAAGGCTGCCCTTTTGTCTTCACCATAAGGCTCTTTCAGTTTTGCATAGAGATATCAGGTTGCAATTGCGTTTTGCTTTCTTCTTGCTTGATCATCTTGTTGTTTTCTTCATCCTCCTCTCTTATCTTCCTTCATAGAGATTAATTCCTTCTTTTTGGCCTTTGCCTCTTCACGAGTTTCATTCCAGTAGGATGATGTTCTGGGGATGTTGTTGTTGCATCTCAAAATTTAAAGAACAGCCAGAGATCAGGTAAATTTTTAATTGACTAGTTACCTATCTTCTGCAGCTATTATGTCGATCGAGTTCGAATGAATTTGCTTTGTTTTGACGACTTTTCGCTCTTTCGATGTATTTTTTGAAGTGTATGCAAGAATACGGACTATCCATGGGAAATTTACTCTCTCAGGGAGTTGCTACACGCGACTAACAACTTTCACAACGACAACAAGATCGGCGAGGGCGGTTTCGGAAGCGTTTATTGGGGTCGAACAAGTAAAGGCGTAGAGGCAATCATGTCCATTTCTTCTGTTTCTATTTGAGATTATTTCCCTTGTTCCACGAGTAATAATAATGAAAACGTGGCCTCGGTGAGACTAGTAGAGACTCCTATAAGCTCTATGAATCGATCTTAAACTCGACTGAATATTGCAGATTGCGGTGAAAAGACTCAAAGCGATGAGTGCAAAGGCCGAAATGGAATTTGCGGTGGAGGTGGAGATTCTTGGCAGGGTGAGGCACAAGAACCTTTTAGGGTTGAGGGGATTCTACGCAGGTGGCGATGAGAGGTTGATCGTCTATGATTACATGCCTAATCATAGCTTAATAACTCATCTCCATGGCCAACTCGCCGCAGATTGCTTGCTCGATTGGCCACGAAGAATGAGCATTGTGCTCGGATCAGCTGAGGGTTTAGCGTAAGTAATCTCATTCAATCGCTACCAAAGTAACCTAGTTACGCCTCATAGAATCATCACTAGAAATTCGGATTTATGGTTATGTTCGAGTACAAATAGTCCTCCAAACATGTTTTTGACGCTCTTAGGATTTATGCTTGTCCACAGCTATTGAACTTTGTGCCTTTACATTTCGACCAAAAAAAGAAAATTTGTGCCTTTACATGGTTAAGGAATTATCATGAGGCTAGTCCTCACAAAACGTCCATTAGAAATTTAGAATCATTAGCCATCGCATTTTAGGAACATAATTCAGTCTAGATTTGCAACTTCCTCATGGAAATTAGGTTTCTCAGCACCTTCTAGATCTGAATTTTCAATACATTCTGCTCAAATTTTAACCGTCTTCTTTTGCTAATTTAAGGTACTTGCATCATGAGGCCAATCCTCACATAATTCACCGAGACATAAAGGCGAGTAATGTCCTTCTGGACAACCAATTCCAAGCAAAAGTTGCGGATTTCGGTTTCGCTAAACTTATTCCAGACGGCGTTACTCATTTGACAACAAGAGTGAAGGGAACACTCGGCTATTTGGCTCCCGAATATGCGATGTGGGGAAAAGTTTCGGAGAGCTGCGATGTCTATAGCTTTGGAATATTACTCCTCGAGATAATCAGTGCCAAGAAGCCACTGGAGAAGCTTCCCGGCGGAGTGAAGCGCGACATTGTGCAATGGGTCAAGCCGTATGTCCAGAAGGGCGCGTTCGATCACATAGCTGACCCGAGATTGAAGGGGAACTATAAACTGGACCAGCTCAAACTGGCGCTCATGATCGCAATGAGGTGCACGGATCATAACCCCGAGAACCGGCCAAGCATGACAGAGGTCGTGCAGTGGCTCAAGGGAGGTCTAAGGAGGACGAAAGAGATCGGACATGTCACTGGCAAGGCTGAAGAAGATGATGGTGATGATGAGGAGGAAAATGATACAGACTACGAAGGGTATGGGATAGACCAATATGATGACAAGAGAAAAGCATGGAAGGGAACAAAGGTGAGATAGATGATCATTGAGAGACAATCATCATTTGTATTTTGGGTGTCTTTGATGTACTGGTTTTTCTCTTGTCTTCACTCGTCAATGCTTCATCATAAGATCCACGCAAGTAAAAAGCAAACGAACGAGACGACAGAGCTCGACTGATCGGATGCTTCACTGTTCTTCCTCGGCAATCTGTCTTTACTCTCTTTGCCTAAATCTTGTTGGTTTCAAGCCTTCAATTAGAGTGAATTCACTTTATTTTACCCTTTTGAAGGATGACATTTATGTTAACAATCGTTGCAGAGATGTGGACTGATGTATCATACAACTTCCCAACTTGATTTCTGTGGAGTCTGTCTTTGCATCTCCCTTTGTACACTTGAAGGAGTTTCTCTTGCATCGCCGATGTACTAATAACCAGATGGGAAAATGATGAAAATAGTCCCTAAATTTTAATCCAGTGTGCAACGTCATTCTTGGACTTCGTTAATTCGTTCGATGTGATCCTTGAACAATTCCTAAATGTTCATTCTAGTCCACCATACTTCAATTTGTTCAATTTAGTTCATCGGGTTTCCAAAACAAAGTCAAATCAGTCCTTCAATACTAATCGCGAGTTTTCATAATTACTTTATTGCCTAAATTTTAGAATATCTTTTCATTTCAATTTATTTCCAAAATCAATGAAGAAAATGCTATCATTTTTACTATCTTTTTTGTCTTTATAAATATTGTTATATTTTCGTTGAAGTATATTTTAACATACGATCTCTATAATAATAATAGTAAAAGCTCATTTAGAGGTGTATCGGATTAATATTCATGCTACTTTAATTTCCTAATTTATAGATTTAAGTAAATTTAAATTAAGAAAACACAAAATACAAGAACTTGAAAATTTTATCTATCTAAAAGTTAGGAACAAGATTTAGATTCATATAAGTACGAGAAATCTATTGGTAAATTACCACTGCTGGATATTCTTATAACCCTTATTTTTAAAATAAAAGGAATATGAATTTAATAAAACTCTAAATGAGGTTATATTTTTACTATTATAGACATCATAGGGTGAAATATATTGAATTGAACTATTGTGATATTTATAAAGACCAAAAAGGTAAAAATGCAATAGAAAGATACCCATACTTTCTTTCGTTGATTTAGAAAATGGATTAAATTGAAAATATATTTTAAAATCCGGGTAACGGTGTGATTATGAAAACATCGAATTTTTTATGAGCAAATTAGCGGACTAGATTGAACATTTAGGAATAGTCCAATATCACATTTATGAGCGAATTATAAGTTTGATGATAACATTGCACGTTGCACCAAAATTTAGAAATTATTTGTGCGATTTCCCTTGGCCAATATAATCGCATCATTTGGGTGCTATGTAATCTAACCAAACTTTGTTCGTAAATTTGAAACCTCTCAATCTCAGTGACAGAAGAATTCGTCATGATTACGTGCTGCGACCATTGCATAAAAGTATGCGAGTAGGTGTGTTGTGCCGGCAGCGATGGTGTTTCATGTGTCATCTTCGAAAATGCAATTTCCACCTTGTGACGTTTTTATGTGGTCACAGGATAAGGCAATCCGGCTATAACCCCACTTCCTCAATTTTTCTATTTTGGGCCCATTTCACGACGCAGGGCCCAAATTGGAGGCCCAATCGATTGGCCTGGTTTGTTCCATGAACAAGTTCTATTTATCGAAGACGTGGCAAATCGAATGATTTGGAAAAAAAAATATTTTCTAAAAAAAATCACTTGCATCGCTTGAAATAATTAGTCAATGAAAAATATTTTCGTGATTGACAATAATTAATGTTTAAACATTTTCGTGAACCATGAAAGTATTTTTTTATTCATTCGTTTTTGTAAGTGATGTAAATGATGAGAAAATACTTTCCAAATCATACAAACGGAACCTTGACGAGAGAAAGAATTGTTCTTAATGATAATGTATCATTTATCGGTTGGTATTGTAGCACCTTAGCATTTTTTGCCCTGTGTCCCAAAATTCATTCTTCATTCATTTGGCTTCGGAGGAACTCCACCACCAATTGTGATATCTCCATATAATAGAACGTTTCTAACCCCTTCTCAATAAAGCCATTTTGTAGATCAAGAACTAAACAGGGACAATGTAGTTTTTTCAAAGAAGGAAGAGTTTGTGAATATATCGTTTCGTGCCGTCGAGGTTAAAGTGGGCAAAACATCGGAGCGGATCTAATTAAATCCTATGCAAAACCTATTTTATTGAGTAGTGATCAGGTATACGATGCAATGTTTATTTGAGTGGTTGTGAGCTTTATTTTTCATTTTCATTGTTGATATTACTTCTCCCAAATAGGGGTGATCAGTTCCTAGACGGTTCAGTTCCCATCTAGAAATCGGGAAGCGAACTAGTGGGACCGGTTCTCCGTTCTTAAGAACTAGGAACCAGACCATCTGGTCCTGAAACCAGACCGACGATCCGGTCTAGTTCCTAGGTAGGTAAATGGAACCAGTGGCTGCCCTCACACATTTGTTTCTCTTTTTTTCCCATTCGAGATAGCTTTGGAACTCACTTTCACACCGATCACGATCACCTTGTTGTGATGGAGCAAAGCGTGTTACGGCTAGGGTTTCTAACAACGAGCCTTCCCCGACTCCCACTCCGCCGCCTCTCCTCCCCTGACTCGGGAGCTCACCAGTGTTAAGATATGAAATCTTTTTGATATCTTTTTTTTGAATTTCAAATTAGCTTACCAACTATAGATGAGTTGGCATTCATTGATTTTTGCTTTGCCAAAGAGTGTACAATCTGCTCATAAGAACCTTTTGATCTGGTTATTCTGCTTTTTTTTTTCAGCAACCTTCTGCATCCTCCAGCCATAGAAATCACCTCAGAATCAACTCACACCCCCTCAAATTCTGGTTCCAGTTCCATCGGGACAGCCGCACCTAATGATCTGATTTCAATCTCAGCGGCCATCCAATTGCTATTCAAGCCCTCCGCTGCTAATTATCCCTCTTTGCGCACTCAATTTCAGGCGCAGCAGTTATGATTTAATGGGATTTGTTGACGGGACTTCCGAACTAATGGGAATTACACAAGCTATGTGCGATCCTCAATGGCATGAAGCAATGTCGGCTGAGATCAATGCCCTTATCCATAACGGGACTTGGGAACTACATCTTTGTATGTTGTAGGTTGTAAATTTATCGGATAAAAAGACGTGCGGACGGTAGTATTGAGAGGTATAAGGCACGTCTTATGACCAAAGGTTTTCACCAACGACCGGGCATTGATTACATCGATACATTTAGCCCAGTCATCAAACTAAATACCATTAGGGTGGTCTTATCATTTGCTCTAATGCGTGGATAGACATTGAGACAAATGGATGTCAACAATGCCTTTCTCCAAGGAACTCTCCAGGATGAGGTCTACATGTCGCAACCGCCCGGTTTTAAAGACCTAGAAAAACCAACACACACCTGCAAACTTCACAAGGCCATATACGGGTTAAAGCAGGCTCCGCGGGCTTGGTACAATGAGCTAAGTTCATTCCTTCTCGCAAATTCATTTGTCAATTCAAAGAATGACAGTTCACTGTTCATTTACTCTCATGGTGGCATTCAAGCCTATTTTCTAGTGTGCATAGATGACCTCATTATCACAAGAAGTGACTAGAATTTTGTTTCGGACTTCATCATCACTCTCTCTAATCGGTTCTTAATTAAATACTTGGGGCCACTGAATTTCTTTTTGGGAATTGGAGTCATTCCTACAAAAACCGTCTTCTTTCTCAACATAAATACATAAGAGAGCTACTTGAACGCTTCAAAATGGGAGACACAAAAGAGGTAGGGACACCATTAGCCACGGGTCAGTCTCTTTCAGTCCATGACAAAGAACCACCAGCTGATGCTACAGAATTTCGAAGCCTCATTGGTGCACTTTAATACCTCAACATTACTCGCTCATACCTTGGTTTTGCGGTAAACAAGCTATCTCAATTTATGCATAAGCCTGTTGGGATTCTCCTTAATTAGTCGGGAGAATTAATGCATTGATGACCACGTAGTTCCAATGCAACCAACTCGCTTGGAAAACGAAGAGTTTTGCAAATCTCCATGCTTTTTGGAAAGATGCTTTACGACCACCTTATTTATTGATGAAGAATCTAGAGCATGGAAGAGATGTCTCATGGCCCTCTATAAATAGGGGATGAAGAGATATGTTGGATTGTGACGTGAGATCTGGTGTACATTCCACATCAAAGACAAATTCGACGAGAGTCGGTGAGGTCGAAGGTTTCGACAACCTCTTTCGATAAGAAAGATCCTCTGTGAGAGAGATCGTTATCCTCCTGTACTAGGTTGTAATCCACCAATTGGTGAGGGTGATCCACCAATTTTCGGCGAAGAAATATTGTTGTAAATCCTACTATTATAGTGGAAGATCTTTGTGGTTTTTCTCTTTCGAGGGATTTTCCACGTAAAATCCGTGTATCTTCGTCTCTACATTTCTCTTATTTTCTTTTTTTGCCAATCTTGATCACGCAAGGAGGGAGAAAGGGTTTCGCTTCCGCATCATCATTATTATTATACGCCTTTTTCCCAATAGTGGTATCAGAGCTTGGTTCAAAGGCATCGTGTGTTTCAAGATGGAGGCTACCGTCACCCATGATGGTGATATGTTCAAACTCACTGCGGAGAACTATTCCTATTGGAAGCCCATGGTGGAGGACCACCTATATTGCAGGGACTTGTACGAGCCTGTCATCAATGAGGAGAAGCCGGAGGAAAAGAGCGATAAAAAGTGGGAACTCTTAAATCGCAAAGCAGTCGCCATGATCCGCAAATATATCGATAGAAGTTTGTTCGAGCATGTGTCGACATACACCAATGCTCACGAATTATGGGCGAAGCTAGAGTCCATGCTTCAAAAGAAGACGCCTCGTAATAAAGCTCACCTAGTGCGACGATTGGTGAAGCTGGAGTATAAGGATGGTCAAAGCATCATAGAGCACTTAAACACTTTTAAGGGGCTCGTGAATCAATTGACGAAGATTGAGATGAAGATTGATGATGAGTTGCAAGCCCTTCTACTCCTCAGTTCCCTACCAG